ATTATATTTTGAAAAATAAAAGTATGGAAATGTTATTATTTGTTCAAATTTTGTTTGTTTCAGTTTTTAAAAAGTTTGTTTTATAAAATAAAAGTATCATCATCTGTTGTTTCATCATTATTGCACAATACTTGACAAAGTATTCATGAATACATTCCTATGTATTCATATATGAATACTTCATATTTTTTCTTTATTTGTTTTCATGTTCGTATTTGATTACTGATCTCCAATACTCGGCCCATTCCTGATAGTTACAAGAAATAACTGAATATGACAACTATCAACATCTATGTGTACATGTGAAAAGCAGTGAACTATGACTAAACACAGTGTACTGAGTTTTACATGTTACGGAGTAAGTAACTACGATTATACAAGTAGTACAAGGTAAGGAATAAAAAACAAGTTCTACACAATATATCATATGTGGAAATATTAAGGAGTAATAAATGATGTCTAAGCATTAAGTCCAGTGTGTTATGTGTTAATAAAGAATTAACTATATCTACACAACAACTTCTACATGTTACCTGGTAAGGAAGGACGGAGAAGGCAAAAAATAATGGGAACGAATTGAAAGTAAATGCCAAGTGCAGCATTAATAGGGGAGAAGAAGTGAAACAATAGGCATACATAAAGAGGGAAAAGTCAGGAGCTATTTAGTAGGAAGAGAAGTACTGAATGGAAAGTTATAATTTTCTTACACTGAAAACAGATTTGTGAAAGATACCTACCTCTTCTGATACAATACCTACATCCTCTCACACAATAGCTAGAATCCTACATTGAACAGTTTTATAAGAGACAATAGGAGACCCACCATGAAAAGTGATCATAGAATGTCCAATATGTTTGCACATGGATTGAAAGAAAGCATATATGAGAGGGACCACACCACTTCTGCAACAGGTATGCCCCTTGCCCTAGACAAAGTAAAGTGTTGTGAAACAGATGGCATCGAGGACCAAATCGCTAATGAAAGGCCTTGGAAAACATTGGAATAGGGCTCTCCCCAACCACAACCGTATAGACGAGGTTCCATGTTTTGTCCTTGGTATTACAAGGTAGAGGACAGCAGTGAATAACCAAGAAGAGTATATACAATGGAGCAAGACCATGGCAAGCAGATTGTGAACAATAAATATATAAAGCCAAACTGCAATAAAACAGAGTGATATACTGAAAGCAACCGGAATTACAAGGAGGAAGTAAGCAAACAGTAATCACTGAACAAACTTCAATATCAATAGTAGGAATCAAGAAGTACACCAAACGAAACCCAGGATTACAAGGCAGTGTCTAAGTCTCAACTCAACCATTAGAACAGAGAATCATCTTGTAGCTAGCATTACAAGCAGGACAAGAACAAAACCCACTTACTGTGAGAGCCAGGAAGAAACTGCATACACCCAGTATTACGAATAGGATGTAGAACATCTGCTCAACATAGGAAAAGGGTATCATATGGCTCAAAATCGATATCACAAGGTAGACAAAGTCCCTTGAGCTCAACCGTAGGAGCAGGGAAAAGAAACATCCTGCAATTGGAATTACCAAGATGGGGAGGGACCAAAGGGCAGTGGGGAGCCCAGAGAAACAACACATTAGAGAAAGTGTAAACCCATAATTCCCTGAGGCAAGATGAGGGAAGCAAACCCCTAAAAACAGTGCATCCCTCTCAAACAAGTCCCAACAACAAATGAGCCAGGTAAGAGGGAAAGGGTAGACAAAGAGAGCTTTGCCAAAATCTACCACAAGAATGACCCAAATTCCCAGAAAAATTGTCAAGGGTATGACGAAAGGCCTCGGCGAAAAGTTGCCTACAGGAGATGTAACGAAATACATTAGTAAGGGTGAGAAGAATAATTGAAAATTGGGCTTGTGAAAAAGAGATGGAAATGTCAGGATTAGAGCCCCAAAGAGGTCCCAGTAGAATTAATTGCTGAGAATCCAAATAAGGACTGGCAGAGTGATGAAAAGCCAAAGGATAGTGTTCGAAATCATAAGGAGGGTTGAGGCATACTAACCCCCGAAATAAGCTGAGACAAAAATCGCTGAACATTAATCTCTATGTCAGGGGAAGGAGGAAACACCATGTAATCAGAGGTAGGGAACTCCCACAAAAGGGGAAAGAGAAGCATCATAGGAAACAGGAGAAACATGCTAAATACAGCAAACCTGTGTAATTAACTGCAGGAAAGGAGTGGAAGGGCAAACTTCTCCCAAAAGTACCTGAAATAACAGCATAGCAAATGAAAGAGCAAAAACGACGTTGTCAAAACCATTGTCTTCCTGCACGTGTGGAGAAGATGACAAATCAGGCTTGCACCTCCTCAGCCGATAATATTAATTTTGTGACTTGGGTAAGGAGATGAAGACTGCCTCCAGAAAGGGCAGGAGCCATAGTGATAGTCATATTAAATTGCGAATTCATAATTCGCAATAATTATGGAAAAAATAATAATAACTTATGCGTGTATGAAACCAAGTATGAATCCACACAATATATGAAAAATCAAAAGCAAGCGAGACACACCTCTGATAAGTCAATAATTTCAAGCCAAGTGGCTTAATATCACAGGAATTAGAAAAATAGCAAACTTAAATTGAGTTAACATTGTCCAGTACTGACCAAACCTTGGAAATATTAAAAATGAAACCTTATGGATAAAAAAAGATATTTATATATGTATTGCTTTAATGATATTTGCTTTAAAACCTTTGACAACTGATAGGAAGAAAGGCAAAAAGAAAATAAAGTGCAATGAAACACCTTCAACATTCATTGCTAAACATGCCTTCTTCATTAAATTATGTGTGTGTTTAATTCCTAAAAATAAGATATTATATAATATAGTAGAAATATTTTCTTGTTATTAATGGATTTCATAAAATTTATAATTTTTATGCACACTATCTCATCAGGAATGAAAATTTTGGTAATACAGCAGTGTTTCCATTCACGTCCTTTTACAGGCCATTATTTCAGTTGATGTAGAATATTACAGCCACTCTCAATTAATGAAAATTAAAAATACTGCATCATTATTCCAAGTACAGTAGAACTTCAACATTAAGGACATCCTTCTGACTGCATCCAAATACCCTCTATAACGAGGTGCCCTTAATATTAAATATGAACCACACAAAGATGGATTCCATATCCTTCTGACCGCATCCAAATACTCTCTATAACAAGGTGCCCTTAATATTAAATATGAGCCACACAAAGATGGATTCCATATCCTTCTGACCGCATCCAAATACCCTCTATAACAAGGTGCCCTTAATATGAAATATGAGCCACACAAAGATGGATTCCATATCCTTCTGACCGCATCCAAATACTCTCTATAACAAGGTGCCCTTAATATTAAATATGAACCACACAAAGATGGATTCCATATCCTTCTGACTGCATCCAAATACCCTCTATAACGAGGTGCCCTTAATATTAAATATGAACCACACAAAGATGGATTCCATATCCTTCTGACTGCATCCAAATACCCTCTATAACGAGGTGCCCTTAATATTAAATATGAGCCACACAAAGATGGATTCCATATCCTTCTGACTGCATCCAAATACCCTCTATAACGAGGTGCCCTTAATATTAAATATGAGCCACACAAAGATGAATTCCATACTGACTTTACTAAATTTCTGAATTTTAAAGCCCCCATTTTGTTTAGTATATGTAGAACATGTATGTTGGTGAGTTGCACGTCACCATGACATGGAGCGTTGTCAACAGGAAGCCTCAGGGGGTGGATTAGATGTGCACTTTTTTCATTACTGGTCATAAAGTTTCAGAGTTTAAACTGCTAAACATTTCACATTCATTTTCTGTGTTTATTTTACTGTCAAAGACTGAAGTAGAAATTCCACTGAAAAATAAAACAAATCACTGCTTGCATCATTACTGTTTATGTGACACCGTAATAAGACAGAAATAAGCCAACTTGACCCCTCATCTGAGAACACAATTTAACAGCTTATGTATACTACAGTGTTTACAACAACAATTCACCAAGTAATAAGATTGCACTCTGAATCTGTAAAAACTTTTATTACACTATATAGTTTAGAGCCAATCCAATAAACATCACAAGTATTTGAATACTGGTCATCCTTCTGGGATGTTCGGAATTTAGTGGTATACCATATAGGCATATAAAGATAACTGCCCACTTTACCAAGTGCCCTCATATAGAATGAGACTAAAGACACTGCCCTCAATCTGAAATATCAAGGTGCCTGTTATTGCAAGATTTCTTTTGGTTACAAATAGTTGGAAAAAGAAAGAGACTGAAAAAGTCTGCCCTTAATGGTGAGGTGCCTGTCATTTTGAGGTGCCCACTTATCGAGGTTTTACTGTACATATGTAAGATATGGAATCCATAAATTTGCCCATTGGTCATTTAACTACACTCTTGTATTCAAATTACAATACAGTGTGTAGGTAATACCCATTATACACATGTTGTAATATCTAAATATTTTAATTGTTAAAACAATCATCATACACTTGCTTTTTGTTTACCTTACTTCTCACTATACAAAATATAGATAACTTTTGATAGATTTGTTGTAATTTTTTTTTGGCTTAGGGAGTTAATTATGTTGGTTACAGTACACATACAAGTTTTGTTTTTTTAACCATATATATAAAGCAGAAATATATATAAATATATAAGTAAAAAACCACACCTGACTTTTTTGTACCTTTTAAAGAAAACACATGTACACATTAAATCACAGCTCGAATCATGTTGATTAATGCTGCAAAAATTAGGGCACTAGTTTTATCAAAACATATTCAACCACAAGAAAAAAGCCTGCTGCACAAAGTTTTAATGTAAAATTTTAAAGTGCTCGTTAATATTTATAATGAATATATTAGCATTATTTGGCTTTTGATTTTAAATATCTGTTTTCCGTTTACTTACACATCTAATAATATAACATAAATACATGTAACTTACCAAATTTTATCCAAAAGTTGTTTCTGTGGCCATGTCACCTCAACAGATAAACTAAAAACATTAATAAATGAATTACAAGTGCTACAAAGCAATGATGGTATTTTTTTCTTCGTTGTTCTGTATGTAGCATATATGTTTCCGATAACTATGCGGCGATAATGTTCTGAATTTTCTAACTCTTTCAAACAGCAATATACCATATTTACATCCATCTTTAAAGTTAATGATCTTACACAGATACCAAGCAATTGGTGGCAACAACAGAAGTCTTTACAGTAGTTAAGCTTGTTCCTCAATGAATGAGATGCATAACTCACAAGCAAGAAATCCTGTTCATGGTCTTCTTCAATGATCACACCTGAACATTCCTCCAAATTCCTAGAAGCATTGTTTAAATAATGTATTAGCTTCATATCACTTAGAAAGATGTTTTGTGTGAGAAAATACATTCCATTATTTGAGATGTCTGTATGATGTAGTGAGAGCTTTAACAACAAAGTTGTATTAGTTGAAAAGAATTCGCTTTCTTCTTTATCCTTCATACTGCAATTACTTTTCATATCCTTCACCACCCTTTTCTTGATTCATTTTGATGTATAATAACTGGAAAAAAAATATACAGGATTTTTATAAAACACTGAGTTCATAATTTATTTTAATATTTAGTTGATTTTTAGGACTAACAAAAAAAATAAGTTTTATAACATTCAACTTGAAAAATTAGCTGATAAACTCAATTAAGGCTCAAAAGACTAAAATCCACAAATGAACAATGTTTTATAACTAAAATCTTTATTTAAACTGATAAACAGCTGTAAAAGTCATTCTATATATTTCAACGTTATTTCACGTCATCTTCAGGAGTGTGAAAAAACAGTTACTGTGTGTTATATAAGTACAAAAACATATGATTTTAAAATGTCTCATTCATAACTAATCCTGTCAATACACTTCTTATAAAGAGCAAATACAGATACAACCACTCTTTCACCACCTCTCACACAAAACATGTATATTGTAAAACAAGAATAAACAGTGGAGGACAGACATAGTTGATAGCATACTTGGCATAATTGTAGAAGTTGGAGTCTCACACGTGTATAGTGCAGAACAGAACATTACAACTAGAATGTTTTGTAATTCTCATACAAAAAGCAGAACAATCCATGCTACACTGTAGAACAGCATATACAAAAGTTCCCAAACTGTTTGTATTGACGGGATGTAAGACCTATGATAAAAACAATTATACTAAACTAAAGTCTGTGTTAGTTGCAAGAGGTGCTTAACCTACTTAATTATTTCTATGTTAGGAATTCATATAACACTAAACACTCCCTGAGTGACCATCTCGCCAACGACACCACGCCCAAATTGCAGGCAAAATATTATAGTCCCGACAATTTGCCGCCAGGAAACCACTCCCCTATTCCATACAACAACCACTGAAATCAGTCCCGAGGAAATTGTTGGCTTTCCACATTGCGACCATCTGTTGTCTGTTTTATTTGCTTTTTTACAATAAACATTAACAGGTGTGGTCATTGTTGTTGAAATCCTGTTCAATATTTGACAACACTCAGCACATGTCACTTTTAAATTACTCTGATGGTGTTTCTAATTAAATTTTATTGTTTCATTACCTTGTGGACAATAATTTTTAAAATTCCCACCATAAAAGTTTCAAAATACATGGTAACATGAAAAAAATGTTACACTAATCAAGTTACATAAAGCTCATGCTACTCGCAAGCTGTTAGTCCTAGCAAGTGTATCTCCTCGAAAAATTTTATTATCATTCTTTTTATTTATAATACTAATTTAACCTTATCTAGCCTAAAAATTTCTATTTTTTACATTTTTAGTTACTTTTATAATAATAAATAAATAAACATATCACTTACTTGCCTAATACTTTCACCAATGCTACTAGTCCACAAATTAATTTTTTCTTTAAGTAAATAATACATAGAAGAACACAGAATAATAATATGTCAACAGCTGAGAATATTGGATATATGTCAGAATATTTTGGGTCTTTAATCATGTAACTTGAGCAGTTAGAAATTCAACTTAGCTCTCCACTATGTTCTCGTGCAAAAATTTTATTTTCTCATCAGCTAAACTGTTAATTATCTATAAACTCACATGGTATGAATCATATTGCTATTAATTAGTTGAAATCTAGGCTTTCTACTGGTTATAAGTTTAATAGGTGGCAGCCACAAAAGAAGCCACTTGAAAGGGCAATGTTTTTACATACTCTTTGATAACATTACCATGACAGATACACTGTGTATAAATACCACATCACTGAATGAGTAAAACATCAGTTTATTCTGTTATGATCACACATGAAATTTATTGTCAAATGCCCTTATAAATCTCCTTGATATAGAAATTCTATTCCAAAATGATGCCAAAGGCAAAGCCATCTGATCGTATTGAACTATCATAGGCAAATAAAGTCAAAGTTATTCAGGCATATAATGCCAGCAATAAAAGCCAGTGCAAGTTAGCTGAAGAATTCAATGTTGGCAAAATACAAATCCAGCAAATTTTGAAGCATAAGACTGAATATATGACAGCATTTGAAGAGAATTAGCAGTCTTCATGAAAATGCATTTGTTCTAGATTTGTGAGTGACGACCTTGAAGCATCATGGTTTTGGTATCATAAAGCTCATGCTATGAAAATTCCAGTTTTCGGACCTATATTGCAAGAAAAGGCACTTACAATAGCTACTACTCTGGGTCTTTCTGACTTCAATGCATCGTCTGGATGGCTCACTAAATTCAAAGCCAGACTTAACATTTCACAACTCACAAATAACTTGAAATATAGTGGCCTATAGTAATATAAGGTAGAACATTTTATAACTATTTGTTTTAGTACAAAGCTAAACATTGTGTTCCATCCACTGAAGGAGATTGAATACCAGACTTTAGCATTCTAAGTCCATAAACTGACTGCTGACTCACCAGGAAACTTTTTTTAAGTGAATCAGATATTGTGTGGGGGACAAGATGGACTTGGAGGGCTCAACCAGCAAATCCAAACAAGATAAATCACAAAGTAGAAGCAAGGTCAGAGCCAAGGATGCTTCTCTGGATTGGGTAAGGAGGAGCCAGATGTCCATGAAGTATTGGAAATGTAGTCTCAAAAAATGCATCCTCCATGCAAGTACTAATAAGACCTGATTAAAAACATATGGGGCCATAGCCAATGCAAAAGAAATGCCTGAAACTGAAAAATCTGACAAACTGAAATAAGTAATGAGCAGTCAACAAATAAAAATGAGAAGAAATACACCTGAAACATGAATTTGATCATCCATAGCTCAGGAGTAAGTGAACATCCACCTCAGACTGAGAAAATCGTCAATTCTGAACCAAGGAACTGGTACAAGGACAATGAAGGGTTGCCAACTGCCTATCTTTGTGGGAATAACAAAAAAGGAGGGTAAAATCCCAGAATGGAGTTGAAGACCTGGTATATAGCATTCATAACCTGGACAGAAGGTACAGCCTCCTCCAAGTGTCAAATAGGCAAGGAAAGCGAGAGAGGTGGAAAGAGGAGGTTGAGTGTGTAAAGACATGGAAAACAAATAAGAAAATGCTTGTGTGACCTAATGAGCTCCTGCATAGGAAGTCCACAAGCATGCAAATGTGGAGCTTTTGTTGGAGTGGAGTTAAAGATTGGCTCCAGAGAAAAAAAAAAGTTACTTCACAATCTGTGATGCTCAACCCTCCAAGAGAAGGAATGTCAGAAAGTATCAAGAGAATGAGGAGCAGGAAAGTAGGCAACCCTTCATGGCTTCCCAGGAATGAGGAGCAGGAAAGTAGGCAACCCTTCATGGCTTCCCAGGATAACAAATCTGTAAATTATAATTTTCCTACACTGAAATTATATTTCTGACAGGTACTTACTTCTGCTCACATACACATCTATTCTTGTTCAGTGCTGCTCTCTATTTGCAAAATGTTTTTCGCATGCCACAAGCCTGTCACTCTCATGTACCACTGTACCACTCAGTTCATATGGTTTAACTAAATCTCCCATGCAAATTATCATGCAACAGACACGCCCCATACACATGTGACTGTTAAGACTCCCTCTATTCTATTCTACCTATCACTTTGAGTTTAGGCAGAAACTTAAGCACCAGTTGACAGTGGGGAGGAAGGGTGGGAAGTGTGAGCAAAAGTAAGTACCTGTTGGAAATATATTTTCAATGTAGGAAATTTATATCATCTGACAAGGTACCTTACTTCCACTCACATATATAGCTAGAATCCCATACTAAATAGGTGGAGGGACCATGCAAGGAGGAAGTAGAAGCATCCAATAGACACCCTCATGAAGGAATCCTCTAATAAAAGGATTATACATTGGGGAGTGCACCACTTCTGTACTCTTTGCCCAGATACAAAAATGGTGTGACAGATCTGGGCAGAAAATTGTGAGGAGCAAATTCCAATGGGAGAGAAAATGGTTGGAAAGTGATCTTAACCACAATATATCATAATTTCAATCTCCCTGATGTGGGTAAAATAAGGGATGTGCCCCAATGTGTAGAATGGTTAAGGCACGAACGACCTTACACAGCAAGTCAACTGCATCTAAAATTCAACTGCCAGGAACAGACATCCATGTGGGGGTAGGAAAGAGGATCATACTGTCTACACCTCAAGTTCAGCTGACCAGAGGGAGAAATCCCACCACTGATCTGTGAACAAGGCACAGGTGAGAAGAGCCAAATACATCTATATTCCACTAAAATCAAACTGACCTCAAACACAATAACATCTTTGACATAAAGACCCCATGGGTTAGTGCAAGAGGAAGAAGTGGAGCAACCAAGAAGTGCACCCACCCAGACAAACAACACTAGGGCAGTGCACTCATGGAGAAATAAGTGAGGTACCAAGCACCTCCTGAACACATGTGTGAGGACTTACAGTAATTGGTTCAGCTCTAAATCCAAAACTCAACTGACTTTCATGTGGGGGTAAGATGATGGATCTCAATCAAAGGGGTGAACTGCATATATGCTAGTACACACATGTGAGTATATCATGTCGATTGGTTCAGCTCTAAATCCAAAACTCAACCACCAGGAGCCAACATCCATGTGGAGGTAGGATGAGGGATCCCAACTGCACAACATGTGTGAAGACATGATGTTGATTAGTTCAGCTATAAATCCAAAACTCAATTGCTGGGAACCAACATCCATGCGGGGGTAGAATGAGGGATCCCAAATCTGACAACATGAGTGTGGGTAATAGGGTGAATGGTTCAGTTCTAAATCCAAAACTCCACCACCAGGAACCAAGTTCTATGTGAGGGTAGGATGATGGATCCCATTCATTATGATGGTTCACTCTAAAGCTACATTATCCCCTCAGATAAGCCCGTGCAGAGATGGTGCATCTTTTTGGAGGATATCTGTCAACTACACCAGCAGAACAACACCACCCTATTCTCAACTGATTGGAGTCGCTAGTGTTTATATTGTATATCTCTCATTCAGGAGATTACTTCCATGGTCCACCACCCGAGTAGCTTTGAACTGAAAAATGATAAGGATTTTCTTGCAC